GAGTTGATTCACACGTTCGCTTTGTTCTTCGGCCCTATTGATTGCAAGATATAAATCGTGAAAATTACCAGTATTTTCTATGCCTTGGCATGAGCTCCGTTCTTCACTAACTTCCGATATCTGGGACGTTTCGGTAGATAATTCCTCTATAAGCTTCTTGCTACATTCGAATCCTTCTTCTTGTCACTCTTTTTAACTTTTTTAGTAGACTGCAAATTACTAAAAGCTAATGGGTTGGGATATGCCATTAAAATTGGGTGGACAGAGTTTGATCCTGCCCTCTCGCATATTATATTAAATTTCATATACTGTATATTAAAAAACCGCCAATTACTATAGGCAAATCAAAAACATTATAGTATGTATACGAATCAGAATATTAGCATTTTTTTATTTTTCTGATGCGGTTGCACACTCATTACACAACCCACACAATGCATGCCCATTAAAAAGTTAAAGCCCGATGTGAGCGGAAAAAACCTTATTATTTGATTGGTTTATTATATAGCATATAGAGCTTGATATATAGCATGGTATATTGATATTAAAAGTCATACGAAGCCGAAACAGGAATACAATTGTTTTATTCACTACACCTTCTAACCTTTGGAACCTTTGGTGGTGTTACCTTTGTTTGGATTAGTTCATTAAATTTTCTCTTCAAAATCTGTATCGTATCACTATTATATTCTGTTGTCACGGTATTTTCCACTTCTGTTTTAATGATCATCTATAACAGAATTGGTTTAGAATATGCGACTAAGTATGTTTATAAAAATGAAGCTTACCATAAATTCTAACAATTTTAACATATCTGTTTTCATCATAGGAATGTGATCCGGAATAGAAGCAATGTTTAAACTTCCAAATTCCTCATATACATATACTCCGTCTTTCCACATTATAAGCATTTTAATTTCATAAAGATAACCAAATATTCCAAAGACCATGCGGTTATTATAATTTACATCCCCTTTTCCCATAGCTCGTAAGATCCTAACATTCAGACAATCCCGCATTTCTCGATACAACTTGAATGAATCCGTTGCTAACTTTGTGAGGTCAGGTTTATTAGGTGGCCCAGCTTGTTCGCCGACAAAGATTTCTTCACCAGTTCCCCATATCCTTGCCAGCAAATCCGCATTTTTTCCATCCACTACTTTGTCTATAGCATGATCATGTCCGTAATTTTTTCTATATTTCGAAGCCAGTACAGG